CGATACAAATAATATTTGAGATAAAAATAAACGATTATTAAGAACGAGATAAACGAATAAAGATTAAGCAACAAGCATATCTCAAGCCTTCAAAATCTTCAAAATACCTACTTAAAATTTATTATTAGCAGAAGAAAATTTGACCATGTCACCTCATTCTTAGAGGTGTCCAGACCACTATAGATCTGAGAAGGTCGTAGTGGATCAGGCCGAAAGCCACCTCCGGGAATTTAACCTCTAAGAATCTAGAGGTGTCCAACTGGCTACTTATGCCCAAATAACACAACACAATCCTATAGATATCTTGAGGATATCCACCAAGGATATAGTAAATATCTTAGGGATATCCAAAAACCAGAAGAGGCCGAAAGCCACCTCCGGGAATTTAACCTCTAAGAATCTAGAGGTGTCCAACTGGCTACTTATGCCCATATAACACAACAAAATCCTATAGATATCTTGAGGATATCCACCAAGGATATAGTAAATATCTTAGAGATATCCAAAAACCAGAAGAGGATATTTATGGGATATCCAAGTGGGACAAAAAAAGTCATCTTCAAGACATCCCTAGGCAAGCCTTTTACGATTATTTGGGATATTTCTAGGATAATACAAGGATGATGTTGGGAGCATTATAGAATATTTTTAGGACATTATATGAGGACTGTTATTTGACAATACTTACTTCATCCTTAGTTTATAGTAAAAACGTTCGCGATTTAGTTTTATTTAGCCACATTTTGACGTTATTCACTCGATATTTTTATTAACAGCTCTAAAATATACCTACATATTATGTCAATGAATTTTGCGTCAAAATTTAGAAGTTTATATGTATGAGTTAAGAGCTTTCAATTTATACTGTACCATCGAAAAAAAACGGCGTTCAATTGGCTTGAAAATTACGATCGATGACATTCCCCATATAATTTTACGTACTTACCTTTTCCCCATATAATTTTACGTACGTATTTAACAGCAATCTTCATTTCCAAGCCACCTCTGACGGCGTTTTTTTCGATCGTATGGTATTATACCAGATTATACTACCCTTTATGGAGTCTAGCAGTTTATGTCTAGCAGCAACAGTTTACATCAAAGTTAGCACACAGGATATAGATATAATTTCAAACACCACACATTCCAGAAATTCACAATTTAAACCCAAAAATAGGATTTCTGTTTGAATAGATCAGACACGAAAATGGGATTAGGGATAAAGAACAAGCGATTTTCAACAAATTTTCACCTATAATTTTGTCACAAATTCTTCATTGCGAGACCCAGAGTTCTCTCTCTCTCTCTCTCTCTCTCGTCTCGGTTTTGGCTCTGCTACTAGGCAATTGCCAGCTCAATTTCATGATGACCTCAATGTTGTCTGGCTGTACGCCATATTGGGGCCATCTACCATTCCACAATAATCAAAACAAAAAAAAGGTCCTTATATGATCATTTCGAAAGCTTCTCCCACGCTGGTAGCAACCGGCTACATAGGGCCTGGTTACCCCCGTGACAACGTGAAAAAAGAGTTGTCCTTTAAGTAAATTTTCTCATGGCACTTCAAAGTAGGCGAACTTGTATAAAAATGTTCATGGCACTTATAGTAGGCGAACTTTAAAAATGTTTTACAAAAATATGTATCTGAATTGGACACGAATCCACTTTAAAACTTTTATATCAAAAAATATTAAGCTTTTACAAAACGATTACAAGAATATTAACAGAAAACAAGAAACAAAAATTGACTCCCGAACAACCAACCCTCAGACAGTATTCGATGTTGCCACGACGACTGACCGAACGGAAGTGAGACCCAGAGTTGTTCGTCGCTTTTCGACATTAGTTGAGGTTAGGATAGAATTTCTGCTAGAACAAGGCTAGAACTATGAGTATAAGAAAAAACTAAGTCAACCAGTTTTGTTAGTTTCAGTCATTTTTAAGCCTATTCAATATCGACAAACGACCGAATTCACCTCGAATTTCACTGACTCAAAGAACTGAATAATACAGGGTGCAAAAACCATAAAAAATAATCAACTGTCGAGATGGATTGTGGGAAATTTTTTGCGCGGGCATTTTAAATTCTCTGTATTACTGGGAGTGGCCAAGCTCATAAATATCCAGATTATCCAGAAGATACCAACAGGATATTTTGTTGCCTTGACGTAATATATATCTATCTGTATGGTTTATTGCATTTTATGTAATATAAAAAGTAGTACATTATTTTTTTTCCTAAATATCTAGACGATATTGTTAGGATATTTTATTATCATGAGCATGTTTGGATATCTCAGCTGGATGTACATTAGATATACGACAGAGATATCCATAGGATATTCTATTCTGAGACATCTACAGGATTTCAGGATATCTGGAGGATATCCTATAGATGACTTTATAAGATGATCTTATAATGGGACATTCCGACATTATATGAATATCCTGCGGATATTGTGTGTTATATGGGTGTTCAGTTACCTACTCTCGTTTACAAAGTTCATCACAGTCAACTCGTTAAATAATTATATGACAAATTAGTCTTTAGCCGTGCTCTTACTGTCTATTGTTACTTATATGAGTTTTATGTAAGAGTTTCTGTTATTTTATTTTTTAATTTATTAACTATATATTTTTCTTTATTTCAGGTAAGACCGCAGTATATCTCTTACCAGAAACCCTCGGGAGCGATGTAAGTGATTTTGATTATTTTAATTTTATGTATAAGCTATCATGCTATAAGCTTATTACTATACAGAATGTTCCTTAACGACGTGCTAATATTTAAGGGGGTAATTCTTGAAAGTAAATATATTTCTAAGACAAAATAACTATACATGGTTGTTCACCACATACGACACGGAATATTGTAGCTATTAGAGCTACAATTTAAAAATATTTTTACAAGATACAGAGTGTCCCAAATAAATAAAAAATATCAAAGTTGTATTTTTTTAAATGGAACACCCTGTATATTATTACATTTTTTAGTTTCTACAATTAAAATAAAGGTAAATTTGATAAAGGTTTATTATACTTAGACCTTACCGTTTTTGAAATATTTTTAATTTTGTGAAATTGCAGTCAAAATTTTAAGGCTTCATTTCCCCAAGGATATCAAAGTTTTTAATACTAAATATTTTCTGAAGTTTATTTATTGATCACTTATTGTGTTGCAATAATAAATATTATACTACCTTATACAGAGTGTCTAAAATTTTATTTTATATAATTACTAGCTTTAAATGGCAATAACGTGTTTAATTTAAATGGAACACCCTGTATATGTTATGAGAATCAGATGCACAATTTAATTGTCTGTCAAATTGTATTATACCATTTTTTACCTATAGCTTCAAGTTTCCTTCAAGTTAGAAAATGCATTTTCTTGTAATTTTAAATTCATTTATCAATATACCCATGGAATACTGACATTTTAGATTATTTTTAAAGTTGTACCAAATTTTTAAAGAGTACAGATACTAATATTGTCGATATAGTTTATTTATTTCATTAAAAAATAAAAAAAACTGTTTAAATATTTGTTAAAAAGGACCAATTAATATGATTCCAGTATTCAAACTACATTAATTGACTGTTTGCGTTGATTAATAATAATTGCTCCAAAAACTAAAATACTGAATTTTTTATGTGTATTAGATAGTGTGATAAAACGTAACACCTTAAGAATGATATTTTATTTTTTGACAAATGCTTATTAATTTATTGTAACACCAGAGACATTCATTTTTATAACTTATTATTATATTGATTTCTGATTCAAATCCACATTTATTTAGAATAATTTATTTACGAACATAATTAAGTATGTAATTAATTAGTATTTGGTATTTGGGCAGAAATAATGGTGGTATATTTAATTAATGGTATAGGTATTCTTTTATGAAAATTTAAATAGTTTTCTTTTTGCATATAAATGGGCTAGTAATATCATCATTTTGTTAAAAACGATAATATTACTAGCCTCTACATTTTGTACATTTGTTGCTTTAAAAACAATCTAAAATGTCAATATTCCATGGGTATATTGATAAATGAGGTCTAAATTATAAGAAAAGGCATTTTCTACGAAAACTTGAAGGGACAGATAAAAAGTGGTATGATACAATTTAATAGACAATTAAATTATGCATCTGATTCTCCTAAAATATACAGGGCGTTCTATTTAAATTAAACAAGTTATTGCCGTTTAAAGCTATAAATTATTTAAAATAAAATTTTAGACACACTGTATAAGGTAGTATAATTTTTATTACTGCAACACAATATCTGATCAATAAATAAACTTCAGTAAACATTTAGTATCAAAAACTTTGATACCCTTGGAGAAATGAAGCCTTAAAATTTTTACTGCAATTTCACAAAATTGAAAATATTTCAAAAACGGTAAGGTTCAAGTGTGATAAACCTTAATAAAATTTACCTTTATTTCAATCGTAGTATCTAAAAATAGAATAATATACAGGGTGTTCCATTTAAAAAAATACAACTATAGCATTTTTTACTTATCTGGGACACTCTGTATCTTGTAAAATTATTTCTGAATTGTAGCTCTAATAGTCCTTCAACGAACCCAAAACTTAAAATTTGTAAAAATCTAATCGTTTAGCTACAAAACTCCGTGTCGTATGTGGTGAACAACCCTGTATATAAACGGGTATATAAGAACTCTGATATTATTATACAGGGTCCGGCAATAGTGCGTCGAGTTCTTTGTTTTTTACTCTGTAATAACTAATATAGTCTTGATTTCAGGACAATTCTTGTATTTTTAATAATATATTTTCTTTAAAAAAGCCTGAATTGTTTTTTATTTATTTATTAATATCTCTGAAACTAACAAAACATATTTAAAAATATCTTAGAATTATGTAAATTGATCAAAAAGGAAGTCAAAAATTCAATAAAATACAGGGTATTCTGTAAAAAGCAAATTAAAACATCATTAGAAAAATATTTATTTTATTAATCCTTACAAAACTTAAAAACAATTACACTTTTTATAAATATTATTAAAATACTAAATTTAACCTAAATTATACTCTACTGCTTTCGATTATTCTGGTTATTCTGCGTATTATAATTCGATACGGTATTTTCATAACCTTGAGAGTTGTAGCCCTGATAGTAGTTGTACATCGGGACGTATTTACCGTTGTAACCTAAGTATGGATTGGGCAGGTTGGGATGTTGCTTGTGGAACATCTCGTTGTGGTTGAAATTGCTTGGCAAACCCATCTGCTTGTTGTGGTTATAAAAGTTATTTTGCCTGAAAAGGAAATAATAAGCTTGTATATTTAAACTATTGCTTGTAACTGCTATTTTTTTTTCTTGAATATGGTGTAGGTAGCACTGAACATGGGTATTATAAATTTTAATAAAATTTTATAATGAATTACATTACATAAATAATTCCTTAATTTTATTTTGATTTTATTTTTAATTTTATTTTTAATTTTATTTTTAATTTTATTTTTAATTTTATTTTTAATTTTATTTTTAATTTTATTTTTAATATTAATTTTATTTTTAATTTTATTTTATTACTTGAGATCGAAATACAGAAAATATCAAGACAAAACTTTTAATCGGCATAATATGAGAAAAAATAAGGCGATTAGTGAGATTTTGTTAGAAGTTAGAAACTAACCAAACTATAATTCCTGTTCCAATACGAGTTAATATTACAATTCCACACGGCTTACGTAATATTAAAGACTTATTTCCACTGGCCACGAGGCCAGAGAAGAGCTGATGTGGTTAATTATGCAGAAAGAAAACTGGCTCCTACTATTAAATCGATCGGTAAATTTGGCTCTTAGCATAATCTCCTCGTCGAAATACTGAATTTTCTCCGTATTTTACAATAACTATTATAGTTAACTTCGACTATTAGCACAATTAGAGGCATTAGAGGGCGAAGTAGAGCGCGGCGTGTCTGCCGATTAACAGATAATGATCGGAAGGTATAAAACGGTTAAATCCCAAAGATTAAGAATAGTTGAATCGCTTGTTGGGTTGTATTTATTAAATCCCGTATTAACGGGTTATAAATACAATAGAAAAGAAGTAACAGAATAGAAAAGCAATATTTACTATAGTCTGTCCAACGACAAGGTCCTTGACAGTGATGGATGTGTCTGTCATTTTAATTTCAAAGTAGTCATTTTATTTTACAAAGAAATAAGTTGGTACAATTGGAACGCATAGCAGGGAATTAATATATTTAAAATTGACATAAGTCTGCAAAAAAAATAATTATAACCTATAATTTGGGAAGACTTTGACAAGCCTCAAAAATCTAAAGACGAGTTCATACGCATCCGTTTGTCGTTTATCGTTCCGTCAAACCAATAAAATTGAAATATGATCTTTCATTTTTGAAATAAACCAATAAAACTGGTTTAAAACAATAAGAGACGACGGATTTATATTTAAACCCATCTATAGTTAACTTAAAAAATATTAGAAACTTTTTTTAATAAAATAAATGGATTAGTATGGACGTCATCTGCTTTTCTTCTGTCATCGTCTGTCGAAATCTTACCTGAGAAAAAAGAACAGAGTAGAGCTCACATTTTTTTTTGTTTCTCCAATAATGACTTTTGTTAATTTTTTGTATGCCTAAGGGTGGCTGTAACGACGTCCTGTCATCCTGCTGTTAAAACATAATAGCTGGTTTTATATACAGGGTGTCCCAGAAATAAGTGTAAGTATTTTAACTGGTAGTATAGTTCAACCCTAGAAACACGCCTATGAGGTTTTTTTTCACGAAAAAAAATGTTGAAAATTCGAAATTTTTTGAAAAATTTCTTGGATTTTTTTTTTAGTTTTTATTTAAAAAACATTATTTTTTGATATGGCAACATAGGTATTAGATTAATTTTTCAAGAAAGAAAATCCAGAAAAGATCCAGTGGTTCTCAAAGTTTTAATAAAAAATCATTTTTTTTTGGAAATTTTCAAAATAAAATAACTTCGTTATTTTGGACTTATTTGAAAAACGATAATAAGAAAATATGTTTCTTTTATCGAGATCTATCACCCCTTAAAATACTTGCACTTATTTCTGGCACACCCTGTATAAAAACCAATTATTATGTTTTAACAACAGGATTACGGGACGTCGCGCGTCGTTGCAGCCACCCTTAGTATAGCTCTTATAAAATTTGTGTCGGATATTGAGAAAATCTGATGACAGACATCACAAATATAAGTGAGAGATCGGCGACTCTATACAGGGTGTCCCAAATCAAAGTTTACCACTGGTATATCTAGAAATCCATAATGAAATTAAATCTATTGAATATCTTAACTTATTTCATCCCATATAACGTCAATATCCATTGAAGAAGATTAAATTATGACGAAATTTGGCAATTTTCTGGCCAATATACAGGGTGTCCCAAAATTCGGTGGACATAGAACTACTAGGTATTTTTGGAATCTAAATAAGTTTATTGGAAACAATTTACCACTATATAAAAAGCTTCGTATGTCCGTTAGAGGGCACAAAACTTTAAAATAATAAACACATTTATTAAGATATCTTTATCCAACTGTTATTCCTATTTGAATGAGATTTGGAGCACGAATTTTTTATTAAGCGCTTAAATAATTTGACTGTTACAAAAATCAAGAAAATGTATGGGAAGGGTAAAAACTACCCCCACACTTTTACTCCTAATAAAACAATATACTATTATTATTGTAATTTAATTATTTATCATAGTAAATGTAGGAAGTTTCTTGAAATTTGATAGTAAGGAATAATGATTTTCTATACACCTACATAATATTTTTTTTGTGTAGAACTACACACAACAATTAACACACAAGTTGAAATGTATATTTTTTAAATAAATTAAAAATAACTATAACCAATTTTATCATTTATTTCAAATGTTTTTTTCATTATAATTAAAATACTTAGAGTAATCATCCCCCCCCCCTTCAATGAAATTTTAAATCTATTAATTTTCCGCCTTGTATACGAACTACTTTAAAATTAAAACGACAGACACTTCTATCACTACCAAGGATATTATAATTTAACACAGTATAAGATATCTACATTTGTATATACAGGGTGTCCCAGAAATAAGTGCAAGTATTTTAAGGGTTGGTATATGTCGATAAAAGAAACATATTTTCTCTTTATGGTTTTCCAAATAAGTCCAAAATAACGGAGTTATTTTACTTTGAAAATTTCCAAAAAAAAAAATTTTCCTCAAATTTTGAGAACCACTGGATCTTTTCTGGATTTTCTTTCTCGTAAATTTAATATACTACCTATGTTGCCATATTATCAAGAAATTATGTTTTTTAACTAAAAACTAAAAAAAAATCCCAAACTTTTTTCAAAATATTCAGAATTTTCAATTTTTTTTTTGGCGAAAAAACCTCAAAGGCGTGTTTCTGGGGTTGAACTATACTACCAGTTAAAATACTTGCACTTATTTCTGGGACACCTTGTATAGAATCTTATATTTCAATTAGACAGAGCTACATATTTAAACGTCACATTCCTCTTGTTTGTTAGACTACACAAATTAAAAAAAAAATGGTTTACATAAAACTGACCTTACTGGAGGTGATGTAACTGCAGGTACCCTTTGATTACTCGCTTGACTCTCTCCACCAAACCTATTAGCGATCCCACCTCCATTCAACCATTTCTCTTTAATAAAATCAACTCCTCTTTCTGCCATCATTACGATGGTAGCGTGGGTGTTTCCAGATACCAACAATGGCATAGCTGATGCATCCGTAATCCGCAAATTCGTCATACCATGGACTAATAATTTGTTATCGACCACAGCCATTGGATCAGATTTAGGACCCATACGACAAGAACAAGCTTGGTGGTTCTCTGGCCCTGTGTAGTATTTCACAGCGCAGTCCCAAAATTCATCAGAGTCGTATCTAAAACAAATTATTAAAAGTTATTGCGCCTATAATTATTCGACAGTATATGAATATTTTTAAATTACTCGTATGTTCTAGCGTTAACAGCGAAAATTACACCCAAAGGTAATTGACAGAGTTGTGTGCCATCGAGAATGTCACGTCGACAGGTTAATTGTTGATAGGTTAACTAAGAAATGATGGCGACGTCGAATTACTAAGTGACGTCAACGTCGACAATATCGACAATTGATAATTTGGTACAACATTTTGGCCACAGTTAAATAAAACATTTTATGATTAAAAATTAACACCATAGAATAAACATTTATTAAAAACATAGTATAAACATTTAAAACGTTGTATTTCATAGTCGTCATCCAACTCTGGTAATTGGTTTACCTATTTCTCTATAATTTCAGCTTTGACACAAGGTAGAATAGCAATGATACTATAAACCAACCTATTTTTGACTGCGCAGTCTCCATATTCTGTCTCGTCTATTTGCATCCCGTACTTCTGCACCATAATGGTACTGTTTGCTATTTGCTGAATTACCCTTATGCCAGCAATCAGCACTCTGACATCTTCGGGTTCTGTCAAGTAGTTGGCAACCATTTTGGGGGGATCAAATGGGTTATTTGAGTGAAGTCCAACATATCTAGATAAAAAAAATAATTTTAACGTTCTTCGTTGTACATTTTGACATGGAGAATCCAGTCCTTTTTAACTTAATGACTTAATATAATTTTGTAAAAAGATTATTAATTATTAAGTCAGTGGTCAAATGAAACTGTAATAAACAAACGATTTGTTTACATTTCGCTTGTATATGTTGAGTCCAAACAGTATAGTTAGTCTATATTTTATATTTACAGTTTTCATTCGATCACTTCGTAACAAAGTATTAAATTACAGTTATGAGTAAATATAAAAATCAACTGAAAAAAAACACAGTTTTCAGTAAAAAAAATAATTTATTAGTCATAGTATGAACATTTTATAAATGTTTTCGAATTTGCTCATTATTATTCTCAAGTTTATGAACTCTTTTTGTTTATTACTAAATTAAACTCGAAATGAACAACTCTAAATTGCTATTTTAAATTGTTTGTCGCAAACAGACATCAACATTTACTAAATATTTATATGTCGTCCTTAAATAATTGAAATTTTAAAATTATAAAAGTGGTCTTTATCAAAACTAAAAATAATCACATTGTTCTAAAAATACATATTATATTACAAGCCAAAAACAAAAAATATTTTAAAATAAATTCAGTTAAAGTAGAAATACAACCTTCTGATTTCTATATCTTTATGTTGGAAAAATGCCGCTGTAGTCAAAATAGAAGATATGATGAGTCGAGACTCCCAATCATGGAGCAAATCAATAATAAAGCGAAGAAAATTCAATATAATATATTGATTTTTTTTTTCTCATATATTATATGAGACCATGAAAAAGAGCAGCCTTCTATATGGAGCAGAAACATGGAGAATAACTAAGAAATACAAGAAGAGGATAGAGACCAACGAATAAGAAATAATACCATAAAATTACAAATGGGTATAGATGGAACAATATCACAGGATATAGAGAGAAAGCAGCTGATCTGCTACGGACATGTAGAGCGAATGAAGAATACAAGATGGCCCAAGAAAATAATCAATTGGCAACCAAAGGGCAGAAGAAAACAGGGAAGACCGAAACTGGAATGACATAAAAGCGTACACAAAGCGATGAGTGAAAGAAACCTGTCAATAGAGGATTACACGTATAGAACAGGCTGGAAATTGGGTATCGGACAACGTAAAAAACGTTTTAAACCGACTAATATACAGGGTGTCTCAGATTTTAATCGGGAAAATTTAATAGACGATAGAACTTGCCAAAACAAAACAAAAAGTTCATATCAACTTGTAAGATTTGAAGCTTCCTTTTCGAGATACAGGGTACCATTAGAAGCCCAATTATAATATTAATTACCAATTAGAATTTAATTTTTTTCGCAAGAAGTAAGCAAGATAGACAAAAAAGTCAGGAGACGAAAAAATTATATTTTTAATTACTAAATCCAAAAATAATATTAAACTTCTAAAAAAGCAGTGGCGTGCCTATTTTTTCCTTTAAAATAATTTAACAGTGATGCCCCACCGCCGCCCCTGGCCATTAAACTTAAATCTAATTACATCAAATTAAGTCCCATAGTAAGTATTATAAACGGGTCAAGTTATATCAAAATCGATTAAATAGTTTTTCAAATATCTTAATTTTTTTTTTTCTTTTTTAAGTAACTTTAACACCCTGTATCTCGAAAAGGGAGCTTCAAATCTTACAAGTTGATATGAACTTTTTGTTTTATTTTTGCAAGTTTTATGTAGATACCCTGTATATATGGAATTCTTGTTGGGGTAGATCAAATAAGCAACGTACGCTATGCTGATGACATCACCATATTTGCTGCCACAGAGGAGGAAATGGTGGTTCTCTTAAACAGAATAGAGCTAGAGAGTGGAAAGTTTGGTCTAACAATAAACAGACCCAAAACAAAACTAATGATAGTGGATAAGCCTAACTTCGTAAACAGGACTCACCTGCTTGACAATCTCGAAAGGGTAAGCAGCTTTATATATCTGGGGTCAATAATCAGCAACATGAGCGGATGCGTAGAGGAAGGTAAAAGAAGAATAGCCTTGGCCAAGAGTGAGATGCTGAGACTTACCAAAATATAAAAAAGTTCATACATAACCAAAAAAACTCGCTGCAGCCTTTTGTACTTAACAACACCACCATTGACGTTGTAAAATCTGTAAAATTCTTAGGGCTTGTTGTAGACAATTCTCTAAAATGGGACATGCATATCGAGCGCTTTGTCGAAAAAATTAAGCTCTGCCTGTTTTGCATTAAGATCTGTTTCTAAGGAGCTTAACTTCTCAGTGGCTAGAACTGTTTATTATGCACTATTTGAGCCACACCTCAGATGTGTCCTTTTATTCTGGGGTACGTGTTGTGCGACTCAATTTGGCCGCATTTTCAAGCTCCAGAAGAGATTCGATATTCACTGGGACTAAACAGCAGAACTCATTGTCAGAACTTTTGTAGTAAAAATGTAGAAGAAAATAGAAAGGGGAATTGAGGTATTCCAAAGAGGTCACGACTCTCATGACTGAGGAAACAAGCAGAAAGAGTTGAAAATAGCCAAAAAAAAAAACGTAAAAGAATAGAGTGGATAATACAAAAGGCCCAGGTAATAGATGTCATCCACAGAATCAAATCCCTTAAGTGCCAATGGACAGGACACCTGGCAAGAAGAACGGACAACAGATGAACCACAAAAATTACAATATGGTACCCACCTAGAAGAAGACCAGATCTGAGATGGGACCAGGATATTAGGAATATAAAGTAAATATCTATAAACATACAAATCTAATAAACAAAAACAAAACAAAAAATAAGGTAAATATCTATTACTAAATTAACAAATTTGTTCCGAATGTCTAATAAATAACAAAAACACTTCTAATAACACAGTTCACCCCAGATATTAATAATAGACCAATTTCAAACAGTTTGACATGTCAAGTGTCCAACATGGCTGCGAACACAGAGCTTAATATTAGTTCTTACATTATTTGAGCGAAACGGAGTGCAGTGTGCCGTACTAACTGACCGCATATGAAAATTTAACGGCTCACTAGTTGTAAAGTGCAGCGAGGCAGTACATTATAACATACAGGAGCAATAATGAAGAAAATGCTGGAATTTTATCTCGGCGCTCTGTTACATAATGGAACAGTTTATGAAGATGTATTAGATCGCAATCTCGGAATTCATGAAACTTTAAAATGCCTAGTTAATTTATCTAGGTTATATTTATAACGATGTGGTCGGTAAAGTTTTCAAATTGATTTATTATAAATGTACAGGGTGTCCAATTTTTGCGTGTTTTATGGGGTTTCTCGTTTATGAGTAGAATTAAAAAGATGTGGTTATTTTGCTAAAAAGATGTGGTCATTGTTTTACTTTTTGCAGATTTTTGACAGTTTTTGTCCGAACTTTTGTAGTTCCTGATATACAAGGGGTAGTACCGGAAATACACAGGAATTTTAAAATGTTCCATTTTTCGACCCCTCTTTGATTTTCTTATCGAATTTTAACTTGAATTATAACTTATAGAAAAGGTGAAAACTGTATCCTATAGAGATTTTCACGTAGAATACAGTGGCTAATTGGTTTTTCGCTGGGAAATTTATCATCTACGTAAAAAAGTGCCTTGGAAATGTTTTTACAAAAATACAAAATTTTCTATAGCAAAAAAGTTACAGCGATTTATTAAAAATGCACTTTTTTGAAAAACACCCTGTAACGCATAAACGGTAACAGATATCGATGTGTGGTTTTCACCATCATGTTTTTGATATAAATTAAGCTCCAGACACCGATATTAGTTTTCGTCTATCTCCTATAGAAAAGGGTGTTCCCTTTAAAAGCGTCGAATTTGACCCACCCTGTACATCCTTTCTTGGTTGCTTTTTTTTGGTTCCCAAAGTAGCATTTTTAAACACAAAATCTCTGCTGAGAAACATTGCGAAACAGTTTCGTCATATTTTTGATACATATATTTCGTAACATTTTTGTTTGGAAAAATTTTACCAAAATATGGTTTCGCTACATAAGCTATAACAATAAATTTCTTAGTGTCTCAAAATTTTCGAAACTTTTAAGAAACATATATGGCTCACATTTACAGATTTCGCACCCGTTTTGTGCCTAAAAATTTTCCATAATTTATTTGATATTCTGTCAAATATGAGAACATAACCTTACTTTATTGTTTGGATTTTATTCTGCACTTTTTGTATTTAAGCATTCTTAAAGTTTTTATAGTACTATAATTAAAAAAGCAGAAGGACAAATTGTGAGTACAAATACAGATATTTTTCTTATGCGATTTTATAATTATTTATTATACGCATTACAGAGATTATTTGTTTTAGGAATTAAATCTAATACTACCTACTAGATAGCGGTAAATCGCAACATTTAGAAACAAGTTTTCGATTTATTGCCGATTCATTTTCGAAACACGAGTTTCTCTCTTTTTAGACACAAATATGATATAATGTAGATGATTTGTGTCCGACTCCATGTCAATTTTATAAAATAATGAATTAAAATTCCGTCATGTTGGCTGGTGATAGCGTTTTTAACTAAAAATATATGTTTTTATCGGCTGTTCAGCTTTTAAACTCATAAGAACGCGTTCTACTTACATTGATTTATATATTTTTATTTTTAGAACCATGATATAGAAATAAAAACCTATATTTCAAATAAAAATATCTTGTAGCAACAAATAATGATATATTATAGGAGGGGCATTAAAAATATGGAAGTGCATTATTAAATTAAACGATGAACTTGCTTTTGCAAGATCGAGGGCAGAAGAGGTTTGGGACGGAAAAAAATGTCGTGGCTGCGGAACATAAGACGGTGGACAGGCATTAGTAACATACAGACGTGGATCCACACAGCCAGAGATAGGGAAGCCATGGAAAGTGTGGTCGCAAACATCCATTAATGGATCAGCAGAGAAAGAAGAAGCTTTTTTCACACGTTTTTTGTGCGAAAAAAACATAAAAACAAAGATTTCAAGACAAAAAAATTATGGCGGAGGTTGACATTGTTGATGGTTGTTTTCATTTTGAAATACGCATGCAGACTATTTTAGTTAGGTATTTTGTTTCTTCGCATTTAGAAACAGTGACTGCTGAAACGGGAACATCAAGAACACAAATTGCAGAAAATTGCTAGGTGTCACAACATGACGTCATTAGAACTATTTTCTAAATTAATTATCTCTGTATTTCTTCTGTTTTACCAGATACATTTAGTGTGGATTCTTCTATGAAACAGTGTGTATATTCTATGCTTACCCTTTACTCTTTGGATGTAGAACAACTGGTGAAAATGTAAACTCCTTTTTGGCGTCTGGATCCTCTGGATCTTCCGGATCGCCAACCGATCCAGAAGAAGCGCAATGGGCTGTGTACCCAGCGAAGAATATTTGCAAGTCCGGATCTGTTCCGCTAGGGTTAGCATACGGACTGTTTATTCTTGCTGTAACCTTTAACAAAAAATATATATTACCTATCTACAGGGTAAATTTAAAATATAAGTGCAGATAGAGTAGAAGTGCAGATGGAGGAGAATTGTAAATTCAGTTAATAACAACAACCAAAAAGTAAAGAGGCAACAAAGTAATGAGATTTTTGTATGTCCGGAGTGCGCAAGAGAGATAACATCACGTATCGGGCTTTTCAGTCACAGAAAAGCTCATGACAGAAAAGCCTTGCGTAACCATGTTCTGATGCGTGTCAGATACTCGTCAGCGAGTAATGGCAGTAAGTAAGTAAGTAACGTTTTAAGAAAATTCATATATAGGGAAATTAAAATAACTTTGGTTGCACATCAAAATACGACCATCAGCAAACTCCATAAGACGATGCATGGTATTATTGATGACGTGCAACGAAAGTTGTTTCAATTTCCCTTTATTGTAGAATTTAAGCTGATGTTATTTATATCAAATAACTAGTAATACCCACATTATGTTTATACATAACATATTATAGTTCATGTATCTACCTACATGTTCTGAGAAATCCCAACAGAGCTAAGTTTAATAAAATAACTAATGCCTATTGTTAAGATGACAATAGTCTGTTGATAGATACAGCAAGCTTGTATCTATCACAGATAGTATTGATACTAAAATTAATTACTATTGTCTCTAATCGCAGAGTATTGTCTTTAGCACCCGCAGTGATGTGGCAATAATTTCCTCAATTAAATTAGAATGTATAAATAATGCTGAAGCTTATAAATTTATAAGAGTAAAATATCCCCTTAGACGCTTCATATGGGTGGATAAAACTCATTATTGTATGATTGTGTATCAAATCAATTTATTTTTTTTCCATAGCAACTGTTAAAATTGCCTTATATCTATCAAAAATAGTAGATAAAATAGTACTTTAACAGCAAGGGTAGATTAAACGATACTTTAACAGCGAGGATAGGTTAAAAACTTTATTTCTTCTCGCACGTTTTTTAATTGCTTCCATTTTTGAAAATTTTTGTATTCCTTTTCAGAAGTTATTCGGGATTTAAATGAAAGTAGTTTGGATATGGCGTTTGTCGCCTCAGCCTGAATATCTGTTGGTAATTTACTTATTTCGTTTTGAGCCATTACTGGCTCCAATTCAAACAGCAATCGACACGAAAGTGAATTAAAAAATATTGACTCAAAACTGACAACTAAAGAGACAGCTTTATTTATTTGTCAAATTACATAGAAACCAACGCCAACCCAGCACAATATTTTTTTCTACTCGTAATAAATTCCTTGAAATAATAATATCCGAATATTTTTTAAAACGTAACTCGCTATGGAAAAAAATATTGTTTTATACACGACGATAAAATTGCATTATCGTCTTGTACAAAAAATAACTATTATTTAAATCTATAATACAAATAGAAATTTGGTTTCAAAAATTACCTGAGATAATCCAGTTGAACTCATAGGTCCTTTTCTATTCAATATATACTCCAAAGCAGTAGACCAATCCAAATCATTCACAGCCGGGACTTTTGTTAGCTTATACCCCATGTAGAAAGCCACGTGGTTCTGTAAATTCCTGCCCACTCCCGGTAGATTGTGCTCTTGCTTTATCCCCACCTTCTGCAATTCATCCTGCGGTCCTATTCCAGAAAGCAGCAATAATTGAGGAGTGTTCAGTGCTCCAGCTGCCATGATTACCTCCCTGCGCACTCTGACGAAGCGCTTGACGCCAGCGTACTCAAACTCGACACCTGTCACTGATTTTTGAACTCCCGATTGAGTTAGAGTTATTTTGGTGGCGGTGGAGTTGAGCATCACGTGGAAGTTGGGGTTGTTGCGTTGAGGTCTGACGTAGGCTCTGGCCGAGCTCAATCGCACGCCATCTCTAGAAACAAAATAAGTATGTAGTAATTTTTGAATAGAAAAATTAAGGGAGGATGCAGTATAAATATTCCGGAAATAAATATGCAGTATTTTATATTAGTATTTTAATAAAGCACGCTTTTAGATGTTTCAAAAAACTTTTAATAAGAGTAACTTTAACTCTACATATATGTTTCGGCTTGTTAGGCCTTTTTCAAGAGTTTTTTAAGAACTAATCGTCTAACTACACTGTAACTATATATATATATTTGCTATGGGGGTGGGTTCAGAGAGTTTACAATAGGGGTAATAAAAATGTGTTTAGAAATCCTTGTTGGTCGTTAACATTATTTTTTCGTTTTTAACAGATTTTAGTATTTCTAACTGTTCAATGTAATTTAAGCGTCTACCTTTTGTTTCTCTGTGTAGTAACTTAATTGAGTTTTCATTAATTTTGTGATTATTTACTATACAATGAGTTGCAAGACCAGAACTATGCTGGAGATTATTAATAAACTTTACATGTTCTTTAATCCTTGTCCTTATATCTAAATTTCTACCTGTTTGGCCTATGTACACGGCATCACAATCATTGCAATCCACCCTATATACACCCGACTTATTTTTGACATTAGTTTTGTCTTTATTATTTAATAAAATTTGACCTAAATTTCTTTTATTTACGTTAATAGTTTTACATCCTATTTTATTGAGATTATTTGATATTTTGTTAGTCAAATTAGGAATGTAGTTTAAAAGTCGATAATTGTTATTGTCTTTAGAATTAGCGGAATAAAAATTTTTCATTAATATTTTCTTTTGTTTTTTCTTTAGCATATTATCAATAAGGGAACACTTATATCCATTGTTGATGGCGATTTGTTTATAATATTTAACTCTTTTTTAAAATTCTCTGGGCTCAGTGGAAACATTACTAATCTATGAATTAAACTATGAAAGGGTGACATTTTGATTTGCCAGGATTGGTGTGATTGACTATGTATTACAGTGTCTGTGGTAGGTAGTGGGTTTTCTGTAAATATCAAATTGTAATCTATTAGACCGTTTTATAATTGCAACATCAAGAAAATTGATGGTATTAATACCTTTTTCAATAGTAAATTGTATTCTCGGATTAATTGAATTTAATAATGTTAAAAAACTGTTTAAATTTCTCTCGGTGCCTGACCAAATACAAAAAATGTCATCTACATATCTTGCCCAATAATTTATTTTTGATATTAAACTACTCTTGTTTTTAAATAGCTTCTTTTCAAAATCTGCCATAAATATTTCTGCGAATAACGGTGAAATTGGGGAACCCATCGGTAACCCAAATTTCTGTTTAAATATTTCAGTGTTATACTGAAAATAGTTTTGTTCTAAACAAGTTTCAATAATTGTTATTAAATCTGATTTTACTATTATATTAAGATTAGATTTATCAATTAGTTCATAAATAATAGAGGACAATTCATGGGTTGGGATAGAAGTGAACAGGCTTTTGACATCGAAAGAAACGAGTGTTGCATTATGTGGAACTTCAATATTTTTCAAATTATCTAGCAACTCAAAAGAATTCTTTATGGCAAATTTTGATTGAAAATTGATCATGGAAGGAAGTGTTTTAGCTAGTATTTGACATAATTTATAAGAGGGAGCATTTATGTACGAGATGACTGGTCTAACTTATTATATTGTTATAACTATTATTAACATCTAAAAGCGTGCTTTATTAAAATACTAATATTTCAACGATGTTTCACAAGGAACCAACCACAGCTTCAGTACAATTTATTATGCAGTATTTTGTTAAAAAAAATATAAAAATTGAAATAAAAATTAATTAATTTTTGTATAAATATATAAATTAATTTAATAAATGTTCGAATTAAAGAACATAAAGATTATTTAAGAAAGGGAGATTTTCACAAATGTAAGATTATATGTAAAAAAACAAAACAAAATATACGTGTTTAAGCGTTTTTTCGGAAACTTGACGTTTCTTAAATAAAAAATATTGTAATATTTGAGGGGTGATTTCACCCCCTTAGAACTGGACTTTCGAAAAATCCCTTCTTATCAAACCTCTATACCCTAGAATCAACCTGTATGCCAAAATTGAGCTTCTTACGTTGAGTGGTTTGAGCAGGATCGTGCTTAATCAGTGAGTCAGTCACTTAAGGATTTTATATATTAGTATAGATTTGACATTAACTTGAAACATACAGTCCCCTTTGCGCACTTTGCATACAATTTAATGTGATTGCTTTGGCATCAATACATATAAAACCAGCTCAAACAGATGCTCTTTGTCGTCTCCGTATATGTTTACGTGTTCCTTCCCTCCGTTTCAGCCAAATCGCTGCTTGTTACAATTCGAAACTCAATGTCATAAATTGCTTTACTCCGCTCGTCTTGAAGAAGAACAATCTCGATCTTATTGGCTGGCAATTTACATGTTCTCGCAAAACAGTGTCTCCGGAACAGATGAGACTCTCCAATCTTTACCGCGCCACGTCAATTTTATTTCGCCGGCATAAAATCAAATGGTCTTAGTTTAAATCTTGACATGATTATAACAAGAGAGAATTGATGCGCAGAAGAGTTTTTCGCTTTGTTTCGCATGACTTCACTGAATCATCGTTTCTTGTTCACTGTTATTAATATCTTAATTATTATTAGATATTAATACATCTGGTATTATAGTATTCTGGTATTTCGTCGATTTTAAAATAAACTAACTGTTTCTATCTTATTTTTTTGTCAGAATTGGGTGCATAATCAAGAGGGCACTGATACCGTGTTGTAAAAATAAGGTAATTAAGGGCCTATTTTTTGGTATTTATTATAATTTTGCTAATATCTTCGGTTTGAAAGAAGATATCAAGATGCGGTTTTCGCTGACTTTTTAAACTTTTACTACTCTTTTCTATCAGCTAAAATTACATATTATTTTTTTTTGAAAAAACGCGCTATGTTTGTTAAATTGTAAGAAAGCGCCCCCTAGCGTCTACGTTCAAAACCTTATTATTATTATTTTTATGATATAATATAGAGAAGAAAAGCTCTTTTAAACGAGCCCTTGTTTGTTGGATTCTGAGTATTCAGTCCGGAATTATTAACATTTAAATAAAGATAGATCTAACCTTCCCCCACCACATTACTTTAGCAGATAGAGGAAAATGGTTCGAACAAAAAAAACCTAAATTAACTGAAGATTATGAAGCTATTATTTATAGTACAGATTATCTAGGCAAAATTCTGTAGAAATTATATTTTCTTATTTTTAATAGCAGTTGTAGCGGCCGTTTAGCCCTCTAGCGGCCGTTTTACAAACTTGAAAATAATTTCCAGCAATTTCTCATAGCCCCTTTACTTATAAATATTTTTTTCCGTAGGCTCTACGGCTAATACTTTCCGAGATACAGCCGAGAGTTATTCTTAGTGGGACACCCTGTACATATATTTTGAATAGAATATCTTAAAATTGAATAATTTAGGACGCGGAAAAAAAAAGAAGAAAAAAGATATTATGGACTGCTGGTTCGCTTATTTGCAAATATTTTTACAAAAGAAAATAAATGAGATTAAAGATTACATATTTTATTCATGATAAAGAGTCTCGTTACAACCGCCGGCTCGGATTAAAGGCGTTATGTATTTTAAATTATTTTTTTTCGCGGCTGGAGATAATTTAATACTCCAGCAAGAATGACAATAATACCGCGCAAAAGAAAACGTAACAGAATTACAAAGATTTAGACAGGATTTCAATTTAAATTTTAAATGGAATGTACCTGTCAGTATCTTGTATAATCGTAAAAAAAAAATAATAAAATCCACAAATTATTTTTGAGATATTATATCTAAATAAATAAATCAAAGACGACCTATTTTAATGATCTTGGATTTGTTGGACTATAACAGAAAATTTATGTTTTAATATATAAGATTTGGAACTTCTCAGTTCAAGAGTTTTTGTAGAAAACGCATTTTCTTATAATTTAGACCTCATTTATCAATATACCCATGTTTTAGATTATTTTTAAAGATGTAACAAATTTTCAAAGATAAATAAATAAATAATGGTTTATTGTCTAACAGGAAATCCCAAATTAAAAACAACTGTGTACACTAAAAAATTCAGAACATTCATAATAAATGAAGCTAACATAAGCACAAATCAACAATAAAAGTACAATGCAAAATATAACAAATCTATATGTAATCAATAACTATATAAAAAAATAACACCTAGTATAAATTTAAAAGTGAAAGTAAAACTCTAATTCTAACGAACTACAATAAAGAATGCTAGGATTCTTCATTTGCCGGACCAAAACATTCCTGAATTGACGCAGCGAGTCGCCAAATATATCAACAGATGCCAGGCTCTCAACATCATTGAAATCAGTACAGGCCCGGAGAGGGGTGCCTTACTGGCTAAACAAGTCCTGACGTTTGACAGGTAGAACGTGTTTTGATTTCTAGTACGGACGAGCGGAGATGAAAAGTTCAGCCGAGCTAATAGCGAAGCGCAGTCCGCATGACCGTTACAAAGTTTATAAAGGAAAGATAAAGAGTGAAGTCTATGAGTTTGCTCAATATATAAAAGATCAAACCTTTGCAACAGCTGTAAGTGGTTATAACCACGCTCTGGGAAAACACCATCTAGTTTGAACGAGAGATATTTTAGGAATTTATGCATACATTTTCTAATCTCCGTATATGGACCTGGTGAATTGGTGACCAAATTTGAGAGGCATAATTGATTTTTGATTTCACAAGGCTCCTGTATAATGCCGTTAGACATAATGGACTATTGAAAAGATTGATGATAGATGACTATTGTCAAGAGGAGTATTATCACTGTTTCTAAGAGTGCCAGGAATACGAGATCTATTCTGTTTCTGCTGAATATATTTCCAGAATTCTCTGGGTTCAGCTCGTAGTGAGTCCTGAGCAGCGATTATATACGTTCTATAAGCACTAACAAGTTGTTGCTTAATCACTGCTCTAAGAGTTTTAAAAGCCCCGGAGATCCGGAGATCGATTGATTTTCAATCTCTTAAAGATTCTAGATTTCTCCTTAATGTTACTGATGATTTCGGATGTATACATGATGGGTAGGAACACTTTTTGCTATTTTTTGTACTGTTTGTAGAGTGGGATGGATTGGTCAAAAAGTTCATACAGTTTATTATAGAAAGCCTCGACTGCTGCGTTAACGTCTTCCATGTCTTCTAAAAAGTCCCAGTTAGTGGTAAAGATAAGATTATAAAGATGCGGGTAGTTGGCTTTACTGAAGTTATAGTTTTTTGCCTGAACAGTAGAGGGAAAGTGTGAATGGGGTTTCATTGGCAAATCAGGAATCATTAGTAGTGTTGGATGATAACCATCTTCCTTGACAAATGGAAAAGTGGTAAGGACTTCTGAAGGCAAGTTAGTAATAACTAGGTCAAGAATAGTATTGTTTTGATTTTGAATACTATTACATTGCTTAAAATAAAAAAAAAGCGAGAAAATCGTTTAAAAGCTGAAGTTTTGGACAAGTATCAGCAGGTAAATCTGAAAAATGAATATTGAAATCGCCTAATAAGATTATGTCGCGTCCATAGAGAAATGTTAAGGACTCAAAAACATAAAAAATACACGAAAATGCTCAACTGAAGTGTTAGGCTGAAAGTAAACTGCAAACACATACAGAACACCCCCATCACCCGCAACACTCACCCCAACAATGTCGAGAGCCGGCAGCGCATCTTCAAAAATGGACAGGTCCAATACGGTCGAATTGAGATAACTTCGGACTGCCAGCAAACCTCCACCGCCTCTGGTAACATTCAAGACTTCCAGATTACGATCCTTACGATACAAGTTGTAGTTGGTGACAATGAGCTCAGCATCATTCAGACCAGACTGCAACCAGGTTTCAGAAATGGCTATAATGTGGTGTTCACACACATATATAGACTTGTAGAATTCATGAGTCTTAGTGTTCAACCCACGAACATTTTGGTAGGCGATGTTTAAGCCGGACTGATTATTTGCGTTCCCTGGAAGTTTAAATGATTCACGTCCACACTAACGATTCGTGGACTGCCATTAACATATTTAATTTTTAAATTGTATTCTCCGGCTGCTAGTCTATCAATGAGGCGTTGTTTAGTTTCTCTGTATTCTTGGAGTTGCTTGGGTGTCTTGTTGGAGCTGATTGATAGACTGGATAAGTTGGATGTGTTCCTCAGAATCTTAGAATTTGAGAGTACCTTCTGAGAAATTTGTGAAGAACCACAAATCACCTTTATAGGGCGTGATTTATTCTGGGCAAATTTTCCAAGACGAAAGGTTCTGATGCTGACTGGATCAACGCTGTTGTTTGGTAGTGTAGAATTTAATACATTCAGTGCTTATGGATTCAGAGTTAGAATCTGGTTGTCCAAATATAATAAAGTTCCCTCTTCTCTTTTCCCGGTCGTGAAGTTCTCTCAACAAATCGTCTGTTGCCATCGAAACCGAGGACGTGGCAGCAGAACCGTTACAAGCGGAAAGTTGATGTTTGATTTCTGCGATTTCTGTATTGAGTTCAGCGTTTATTTTAATTTGTTCCTTATATTTGGAAAGGAGATCGGAATATTGAGATTCAACCTGTAATAATTTATTCATAATATTTCGAAGTGAAATTTGGTCGTTCCCAGGAACATCCTCGGGAAGAGCAGCCCCAGGGCCGACGGAACGACGAGATTTTGTTTTTGTGTTTGTTTTTCTACCAGATTGTAAAAGTGTTTCGTCCATACAGGGTTTGCATGTCCAAGTGGTCTCCTTTGATTTATTCCAGAATGATGCTTGTTTGTTGAATTCGGGATTGGTGAGATCCGAACAACCCTCAAGATACTAATATTGTAGACATTATTTCAATTGTAATTTTCTTGGGTATAGGTTTTTTATATTAAAAATTAAATGATTTCTAGATGTTTTTAAATCATTTATTTGCCGACGTTTCGATTGTTTTTTTCGTTTCGATTTTTTATGCAAATCTTTCTCGAGAAACGTTCTCGATCTTTCTCGTTGACGTACTGTTAAAAATCAAAACAGAACTTTGATTTTTAACAGAATGTCAATGGTTTTTGTAGACGTATCTGTTTTAAAAAACTAAAGTGTTCTCGAATAGTCGAATTTAAATATTTCAGTTTTTTCTTTATTCTTTGTATTTTTTTTGCTGCCGAGGACGGAAAGAGATAAACTTTCCGAAGCATTTTTTCGTTCATTAGGCAAATTTGTCTATCTGTAAACCTAACTTCCACCAAGTATTTTCCATTTGGATTAACGCAGAAGTGTTTACAAAAAATAACTATTTTATTTTGTAGATTTTCTTGCAGTGGCGAAATACCCATATAGCATTTTTTGGAGAGAAAGATTTATTTATTTTTCACTTACATCGGTAAAAAAATGGACTCACAACTTCCAAGCACAGCTTTTTAATTGTCTTTTTAGCTTTTCATAACAATGTATCCAGATAAAATAATAAACTAAAAAAACACATTCCTAAAAACCAGTCAACAATTTTATAGTTATTTTCTCGAGTTCTCTTTAAAAATTGTTTTAGTTTAAATAGTTCCAGTAAAAACTGTAACACCCTGTATAGATCCCACGTAATATTTTCGAAGTTCAAGATTAAGATATTCAAAACTATCCTGTCAATAACCTGAAACAAGTTTCCTTGTTACCTTTTCAATCTCTGTAATCACACCTACGGTCATTTTTGATACAATGTATACACAATTAATATTGAATAATATTGACACAAAAAATTACTTAAACAATCAAAGGGCATTAAACTCTAACAGGTGGCTTTTTATATTAAGAAATAATTGAGACATATATTTCGTTAATACAATAAGCTTTGTAAACAACATCAATTATTCAATATCCCCCCAATATTTTTCAATTTATAAATCATAGTAATGAATCTCGCTTTAAAATCAAAACTAAACAGTGCTTTTTTATTCGGAAAACACGGAAATGTTTATTTTTTGTTTTATTTTTCTATCCGACTATAGTTACAGTGATTAATTCAGTTTTTTCGATTTTAAAAATGGCAAATTTTTTGGGCATACATTTTTAAAAGTCTGGTTTTTTTAGTTAAGCCTATAGGAATCATATGACCCATGTATATTTAATTAAATTCATTGTTGCCAACCATGGACATATTCGGCGCCGTGCTGACTAACTCGAATTTAAATTTCCCGCTGGGGATTCAGGTGGTAGCTCTGCGGTAAAAAAAATTAAGTTGCCGCATTTATTTATTTCTTTCCTCATATTTTCATTCGTTTTGACACTTTAGTTTTGTATTACGAGTTTTTGGTTTAAATAAATAATGTTATGATACTTTAAGCATAAAAATGTTTAGTAGAAGACCATGCAGTCGAACATTGTTCTTTTTAGAACCTCCCAAGTAGCATAGGAAGGAGAAAAAACCATTGACCACGGAAAATTAACCACTATTTGGTTCAATTTTACTTATATTTAACTTAATAAATTTCTTGTAGGGTATAAAGTGCGAGAAATCTAAAAATGAGTCGTAAACTAGTTAATAATAACCTAAAATTATGCCTTTGAAAAGTAGCAACGTTGGAGTTAGGTGGCATTGTTAAAATCTAGTTACTGATAATCTATTGAAGGCATTAAGACTACAGGGACTTAAAGTAGGTCAAATGTTACTTTATTATAACCTCAAATTTGTCTCGGGGGTCGAAGGCATTGTTTGGTTGTCAAGTTAGGTTAAAATTTAGTTGTTAATAACTTTAAATGGGACCTTATTTGGAGGAGTTCAAATTAGGTTGAAAATTTAATTTATTTCGACCTCATAAGTTGCTATTATGCTTCAAAGGTAAAAGTAACTTAGTTTTTTGACTTGGAAGAAAGTCAGACATACGGCAGGGTAAAAATTACCTTTATTAATTTCCTCGAGGTGATTTCCGTTTAAAATAGTTTTCGATGGATTATTACGTCATAGCACATTACCTTGTTCCCACTCGTGGGGAACGAAAGAATATTCAATGCGTTTCTTTTTTATTACCGACACAATCTTAAACGTGTCCATTATGTGCAATAAAAACAAAAAGTCCTCTATAATAATACTCACAATCCCAAAACACAAAACAAATATAATAAGCAAAGAAAACTAATTTCGTTTTCTAGTTAGTTAGTGTTCTAGTTTAGGCCAGTTCGGTAATTGCATCGGCTAGCAAGACGATAAAAATTTGACATGTCACGTGACTCTCAATAAATATTCTCATTTTAGGACACATGATTACTGTGAAAAGTTAATCGGATTGCTCGAAGATGTAATTACCGGACTTAGCATAAAATATCATTGTCAACTTTCACTCAAAGAAAATAATTAATAATTATAATTTAAGGGTAAGTATATTATTAATATCAATTCAATAGGAAATATCAAGAATGTCCAAATTGAATTATAATTACCTGGTATTAGATTGTGCAATGCAAAACCCTGTATACTGAGCACCGTTGAGGTCATTTGATACAGGCTGTCCAATTTGTTTGGCGGCTTCCAGAATATCGAAGGCCATGTCAGGTTGATGCCTGAACCGTGACGTAGTTAAGGGACCATTCACACCGTGGTATTTGGCGTCGACTAGTGTTCCGATGTCTTTGTTGTCCTCGAATCTAGAATTACCAAATAATAAAGTACATAAACAAACAGTTTGTTTACATCTTGTTTGTATAGGGATGTTAGGCCAAAATAAATAATTGGTGTGTATGATTAGTCTATATTTTATATGTGTCAACGATTTTAAATAGATATTTCTTTCTTAAGTCTCTTGTCTGTTTATTTACTAAAATATACATGAAGAATTTATTCTGTTACATTATAACAGTATACTTAATAAGTAATTATGAGAATAATACTTGATTATTTGGAACCTATTAATATTTTTAGTTTCTTAATTTAATGAAGACTCTGCAGTGTAATTATACAGGGTGAGTTTCCTACGATGTTCTCAATGGGTATCTCGGAAAGTACTGGAGATAGAGAGTCGGTTAAATGGGGAAAGAATTGCAGTTTTGTAGGGTCATAAACATGCGCCTTTCAGATTTTTGAAAAAGTTCATGGATTACTAGATATTTCGAAAAAAACAAATTTCGGCTATTTGAAAAATTGTCCATAATTCCATTATAATCTATTTTAGACAAAAAAAATTCAGATAAAATTTGTAGATAATCACATCCTTAATGAGATTGTGTCCTCCGTTTTTATCTAAACCCTGTCATTTTTGACATATGACACAAACATATGTTTTTTAAAAATGGAAACCATAGTTGGTCATGACTTCATAAAAGCGTCATTTTTTAAGCTTTTCAGCGATATAAGCTATAATATGTTTCTTCCGAAAAATTACTGAGGTATAGCCAATTCTTATCATTTTTAAACAATTTCACTTAGTTAGCCATGGAAACAAGTTCAATCGTCGTTGCTCTCAGTAATATGAAACTTTCACATTCAAACTTTGTAAATTAAAATAAACAAAAATTGTAAATATGAAATTTTCAAATGAAGAATAGCGTGTAGGATTATTCGTTCAACTTTTCTTGGTCATACATTTACGAGGATACATTGACCGGTGAACGTTACTTACGTTTTTTAGAAAAGTTAAATTTAGATACTCGCGCATCAATAGAGTGGTTCCAATATGACTTTCATTATGCCACTCCCCCTCATAATGAAAGAAATGTTAAAAATTAGTTATATCATCATAATGAAAGAAATGTTAAAAATTAGTTATATCATAATTATGCAAATTCAGGAATATTAAGAGGTGGACCAATTGCATGGATCTCCTCGATCACCAGACCTATCCATTTGAAATTTTTTTTATGCGGTATGGTTAACAACAAGGTTTACAAAAGAACATATGAATTAAGAGAGGCACTCGAAGAGGCGGTGTGGGAGAAGTTTATTAAAGTTGACCGGCCGTTATGTGGAAAAAGCTTGTAATTCAGTTTTAAAAAGATGCATTTTATGTACTCAAAACAATGGCGGCTTTTTTGAACATTTGCTAAAATAACTTAAAGTGTATGTAGTGATATTAGTTTTTTTTTTAAGTTTTAGTTTGTCTAATGTAAATTGTAAAGAACCGTTTAATAAAATATTCTGTCTTTTTATAAGTTATAAATAACTAGTAGTGGGAACTATCGAATGAATACTATCGAAACATTCGATAGTTGCAATTCATTCGAATAATTCGATAGTTAGTACGAAAACATTCGTTGAAAACTATTCGAATAAAAATTATCGAATAGATCCGTCATCTGCCTTGAAATATTGTATTCTAGTAATTCGCCAGCAAAAACCATTCATTTATAAAATTCATTCATTTATAAAATTCATTCATTCGTCAGGATCGATTATAATAAAATATTAACTGAATTTTAGTTGTCGCCCGGCGACGTATGAAAGAAGCCGGCATCTTTGATTTTTTGCGGAGTCAGATATAGATAAGGACACATTATTTTTTTTATTGAGGTGCTAGTATTTACACAGAAAATACATTATGAAAGGCGCTGTTGCCATATTTTGGTATTAGTTGATATTAGCAAAGAATATTATTGTTTGGCTTTAGTTAATTAGGGAATATATAGACATACTATATATTCTGCATTTTTTTATTAATATTCTGTTGTTACACTGCAATAATACTTGTTATTTTGGATGTAGGAAAATTATTTTTAATGTTTTTTAGCAAAGACTAGTTTAATAAATAATAATAACAGTAATAATTTGTTATACCTATTAACAACAAAATTTAAAATCATTTAATATAAATCTTTTCTTTTAAGTAGTAGCAAAATATAAACAACAAATTAGATGTCAAAATTATTTATATTAGATCCTATTTAAAAATAATATAGTCTCTAAATTTTTTGGCAACGTTGGTTTATTAAATAATAATAATTACAGAACTAATTTGTTATATTAACAACAAATTTTAAAATCATGAAATATAAACATTTATTAATTTTCTAAGCATGCAGTGTAATGGAAGGAAAATATAAATAAAAAATTAGAAATCAAAATTATTTATATTAGGTGCTTTATATTACTATTTAAAAATTATATTTACTTTTACTGGCATTTACTTTAAAAATAAATGAAATATTTTTTTTCTTCGCAAAAAACTACATGTAAGAGAATTAGCATAAACAAAATATAAACATCGTTAACTTTTTTTTTAAACTGGCACGTGTAAAACTTTCATTTTAATTTTCTCACCCCATAGTTTGAGTTCGATAACCATTTACTTAAATATGATTATACAACCACATACTTAAATATGATTATTAAGTTCAACTAATTCATATTATTAAAACATCTAAAATACAAATATGTATTTTTAAAATTAATTGTAAGTTCATCTCATCTCTCTTAAAAATTGCTACTTTTCAAAATTTCCCATTAAAAAATAGACCATATACCATATAAAATTAAATAATTGAAAGATCGGACTACGGAAAACCACACAAATTTTCAGAAAAATTTTGACCACCACATGCACACAATCGTCAATAAATAAAATTAAAAAATAACTACTATTTTAGTATTTTAACTATTTTAATAAACGCAAAAATAGCACAGTATTTATACGGCGAAGTTATAAAAATTTGGAAGAACTAATAATGCACCGACGCATACAAAAATCAAACGAATACTAAATTTCATTTATCAAAAGCATTCGATAGTCGTGGGTCAACGATAACCATTTAGTCGCACGGCGAGGTTGTCACATATGCTTTAGTATACAAATGAATGAATGATTTTATTCGAATAAAACCATTCGATAGTTGAAATCATTCATTCATTAACCATTCGGTAGTCTAATTTATTCGATAGTTCCCATCGCTATAAATAACAGAATAAGAATACCATACCAACTAAGTCAAATTAGTCAAGAAAGATATGAATTGGCTATAACTCAGTAATTTTTCGAAAAAAAAACTTATTATAGCTTATATCGCTGAAAAGCTTAAAAAATGGCGCTTTTTATGAAGTCTAAAAGAAAACTATGATTTCTATTTAAAAAAAACATATGTTTGTGTCATATGTCAAAAGTGACTGGCTTTATAAAAAATCGGAGAACACGAACTCATTATGGATGTGATTATCTACAACTTTTATCTGAAAACATTTTGTCTAAAATAGATTATAATGGAATTATGGACAATTTTCAAAATAGCCGAATTTTTTGTCGAAATATCTAGTAAGCCATGAACTTTTTCAAATATCTGTAAGGCGCATATTTATGACCCCACAAAACTGCAATTCTTTCCCCATTTAACCGACTCTCTATCTCGAGTAGTTTCCGAGATACCCATAGAGAACATCGTAGGAAACTCACCCTGTATATTGTATGGTTGTAATTATGGCGATTATTCTTTTTACGGTCATTGATTCGGTATATAATTAAATTCTACAAAAATTCACTTGTCATCAAAAAAATTAAGAAAAATTGTCAACTGCTCTTCTGATAAGTTAATAAATCATGGCCTAATGGATGGCTAACTGTGTTAAGCGGTGGTTATATGTCGGTTTTAATTACTTTATTTCCTTTAGTTAAAACTCGTGTCATTATTTACAAGGACTAACATTGTCTAAAAAATATTTTTAATAACTTCCTGTTTGAAAAAAAAACAGAATTGAAATAGTGACTTATTACTCTTAAACATATTTTTCTGATCAAGATGGTGAAGAGCCCTGCGACACTGATGAAAACCCCTTTGCTAGCACTGACAGTTCCGATAGTGAATTTTCGATCAAGGGAGCAATATTAATAATAGTGAACCCAAAAAAAAAGAAGGAACATCAAAACTGATGGACTGTGGCACAACGGAAAAAAGTTTGTTTTAGTGATGAATCAAAGTTTAATTTGATGTCTCATCAGATGGAATTCAACATGTAAGAAGACCTCCCAACACACGATTGCTACCAAAGTACACGCGATCCACTGTAAAACATGGTGGGGGCTCAATCATGGTATGGGGCTGTTTTTCTAGGTATGGGATGGGGTCTCTCCATAAAATTGAGGGCATAATGGATCGGTTTGGCTACAGAGACATTTTACAAACCCTTTTACCGCTTATTTGGAGGAAAAAATGCCAGTTGTACACTTCTTCCAACATAATAACGACCCGAAACATGCCTCACAATTGGTTAAAAGGTTTTTGGAAGATGAAATAGTGACGGTTCTCAAATGGCCATCGCAATCCCCAGACCTGAATCCAATAGAAAATTTATGAGAAATTTTGGATCAACACATTAGGACCAAATTCTACAAAAATAAACAAGAATTATTTGCAGCTTTGGAAGAGTCTTGGAAAAATATCGATTTTTAAAATAATTGAAAATCTTCTGGGATCTATGCCTAAGCGATATCTGAAAGTAATTAAGAATAAAGGTTATTACACTAAGTACTAGTAAATTATAAGTTAATTTTTCAGTTTTTGTTAACGCAAGATTTTTTTTTATTAAATATATATTTTGTTCATCTACTTTTGTCCAATGGTTTTTTCTATTTAAATTTTTTGCTACCTTATTAAAACAAATTTAAAAAAAATAATGCTATTTATTTTTATAGCACTGACACTAGACTTCAAGTAAATGTAGCTCAAATTTTAATTTTAAACATATTAGGAAAACCCCATTATTTTAACAAAGTTCATCCACTTATGGCCAAAGTCTAATATATATAATTTATATCTAAAGTCTAAAATATGTTTTAATCTCCCTAAATAAGAAAAAAAAATGTAATCTCTCAAGGATTACAAATAACTATTTATCTTGAACTTCTAGAAATTGCGTACCTTTTAAATACTGGTAAGACTTCTTCGTAACTCCATCCAGGATTTCCAGCTGCCACCCAGTTCTCGTAATCCTTAGGAGTACCCCTGGTATACATCATACCATTAATTACGCTGCATCCACCCAAAACCTTGCCTCTAGGCCAGGTACATCGCTTTTCTGGATAACCCTGGCAACCTGTTGGCTCTGGTTCCGTTTGGTAGTTCCAATCCATGTAGGGGTCGCCGAAATAGTTAACCACCATGGATGGTACCTGATAATAAAACATACTACTTAGTGTGACGTATTTACTGAAAAAAGAGACAAAAATAGGGAGTAACAAATTAAAATATGTTAAATATACAGTGATTTACGTGAGTGTAGGTTATAGTTATTTTTTATACAAGACGATAAAATGGTATTTGCAATTTTATCGTCGTGTATAAAACGATATTTTTTTCCATAGCGAGTTACGTTTTAAAAAATATTCATAAATTATTATTTCAAGGAATTTATTACGAGTAAAAAAAATATTGTGCTGGGTTGGCGTTGGTTTCTATGTAATTTGACAAATAAATAAAGCTGTCTCTTTAGTTGTCAGTTTTGAGTCAATATTTTTTAATTCTCTTTCGTGTCGATTGCTGATTGAATTGGAGCCAAAAATACCTCAAAACGAAATAAGTAAATTACCAACAGATATTCAGGCTGAGGCGACAAACGCCATATCCAAACTACTTCCATTTAAACCCGAATAACTTATGAAAAGGAATACAAAAATGTTCAAAAATGGAAGCAATTAAAAAACGTGCGAGAAGAAATAAAGTTTCTAATCTATCCTCGCTGCTAAAGTATCATTTTTTAATCTACCCTTGCAGTTAAAGTACTATTTTATCTACTATTTTTGATAGATATAAGGCAATTTTAACAGTTGCTATGGAAAAAAAATATTATAGAGTTTCAAATACTTATTTTAAAGACATCTGTATTAAAATTGTTAGTGTTTACATCAGGAATTTATTTTCTAATATTGCAAGGCTTCAGAAATGTCTACCCTGGTAGAGAAATAAAAATTCTAGAGTTATGAATAGCAAAACTTTTCATTATAAATCGGAGAAACTTGGGTTACTTTCCGGTTTCTTCCAATTTAATAGATATATCAGAAAAGAATTGGATAAAGCAGGTACAATTGATGTAGAAAAATTGAGATAGAATATAGAATTTCTTTCAATAAAGGAAACCTAGAAATACAATCAAATATGAAAATGTAACAATGAAATACAAAAATTATTGTCTAACAAAATGGGGACTATTATATTATTCCCTGAATACAGCTAAATATAGAAACCCTTGGTAGAAAAAGTATAGATACAGGAAAGACTCAATTTTATTTTCTGATTAACAATATAATAAGTAAAAAAAATACTTATATAACATCAACAAAAATAAACAAGAAGATTAACAATAATAATTGAAGATATTAATATATTTATTTGTTGAAAGTAAAAATGCTAGACTTCTTTGGCTTAAAACCTACATTATGGCGTTTTAAAAAAGCGACGAGTTTGTGATATTTTGATATGTCAGTCCTTTCCCTTAATTTTAGCATTGTCCGTATCATGCTGTACGTAGCTCAAAGAGTAGATGGCTTTTTCTGCTTTACCATGTCGCTAAAATATGCCATCAAAACTGTCTCCGAAACAATATTCTTAGCATTTCTTTCGGCACACCATTTTTCGTATACTTTCAATGCTATTTCATATCGCCCCCTGCTTTTCTCTGGAAGTAAACTGGCTTCTGCTCTTTTTGCAGCTTCTGTAAGTTCTGGTGGAGTACCAATATTAAAGTAGTCTTCATTATTAGAACTTTCCGACAACATTTTGGCTTTCTATGTTATATAAATTTGAAAAAGCGAACGAGAAATTCAAAACTGTCACTTATTTGTTTGTTTTGTTGTTGAAGGTTTGCGCCATATCAACCACTGGTACCGGTAACTGTAGATATGGAAATACCAAAAAAGAAAGCGACAAATTTTCGCATATTTATTTTTTTTCAAAATAAAATGCTGTCCCTATCTCTTAATTAATGATGTGGTTGTAAATAAAATAGTATATAAACCTCGGAGGAACGTTTTCATTATTGTTTCGAGATTTAATTAATCTCTCGACAGTAATGAAACACTTCCCACCTCGCGTCAAAGACGGCTGAGGAATGACCATCGATGGTAATTTTGGCAAGGTCAAGCCCTACACAGCATTTGTTGACCCCTACTCTTCTTTATTGACCTTAGGAAGGTGGCAATTTATTTTTATATGTATATAGGTTGTAATTTAGTTTAAAACTCGAGAAAAAATATTTTTTGGGAATAGATTTGAGTGTCTTGAAACGTTCTATCTTTTTTAATCTCTCTTTAACGAGAGTTCATTTTTTATGGGCAATTTCCAACCTAAACTTGTTTTATTTATCTATGTTATTGATATTGGAAAATAAAATATATAAAATTATATAAAAAAAATTGTAGAGAGCTTTTTCCGAAGAAGTCGTATATGAATTTATAACAAGATTTTCTAATACACTATAAGTTCCTCTCTTGTAAGTAATATGTTTCTCACACCATGCACAATATGCCCCCTCAAGACGTGCATGAAATTACTTTTCAACGTGTAATATATTTTATATGAAACATATACTTAACATCGCGCTAAGGTCAGAAAGACTTGCTCTCAGGATATTATATTTTTAAATATCCTTCACGAACATCATATTTTCTTACTCTATTATTATAATATACATGTAATTGCCCATAAGTAATATATAACTGTTATTAAAGTCTATAGTCGAGCGATTTTTACATAATTATTTTGTGTTAAATTTTAATATAACATAAAATTGTATGATTCCCGTCCCGTATTAATGGTATGAACACGACTAAAATTAAAATTAATTTCTGACTTAAAAATATCTAAAATTAATTATACATCTCCTATTCAGTTTTTATGCCCCTATGTGAGAAGTAGAAAAGGTGCTTTAAGATATGAAAAATAGAACAGCAGCAGGGAACGACGGAATAACAGCTGAAACACTTTGAAGTGCGCTGGTAGGAGAACTTGGAAATCCTAGCAAATATATACACCAGCTGTCTACGGAGAAACCAAATACCGCAGGATTGGAATAGCGCCAGCATTATTCTAATTCATAAGAAAGGCAGCAAAGAAGACATCATAAACTATAGACCAATAAGCCTACTACCAGTAACACACAAGTTATTAACAAAAATAATAAACAGAATACAAAACAGGCTAGACGAATACCAGAAATCAACAGAAGAATTAAGTTAGCATGGAGTACTTTTGAAAGAAACTCAATTATGTTAACAATAATTTTGTCAACCATTATACATATGCCATTCAGCTTTTACAAAATGTGCATTAGCAGTATATCATTATCTAAACAGGCCGGGAGCCACATTTAGCTTCGCCGCCCCGGGTCCCCGATAGGCTTAGTCCGCCACAGCATCCACAGAATCAAATTCTTCAAGTGGCAATGGGCACGACATCTGGCAAAAAGACGGACACAGCAAGTTGGCAAAGCTGGCAAGCACACGGACTACAGATAGACTAGATAAATTACAGCATGGTACCCACGAGGAATAAAGAGACCTAGAGAATGACCGAACCTGAGATGGGACCATGATATTAGGAAATTAGAAGGGATAACTTGGGCCGCATAGTCAATAATAGACAACAATGGATCCAACTATATTATAGAGAGTATCTAAATATGTGAGGGAGGTCTATCATAATTGGAAATGGTTGACTAAGCTGAAAATGATGATGATGATGACTCCTATACTGGAGTAGCTTTTTTCTTACTAAAATAAATGTGTCAAAATTACAGATACACTTAATAGAAGCTTTCACGAAAAAAAGTAACAATTTCAATTGAAAACCTCTGTTAAGTTTCATTCATATAGATATATTATAATCGCAGACATGTTTAATAAATCAGTGCCCTCAAAAATTTGACAGCCTTAATTCAAAAATTCAAATTCAAATTCAAATTCAAAAATCTTTATTTCTAGAGTGGTACATAGTTTTACAAATTATAATAAAATATAAATAGTAGTAACCTAGTTACCTAATCAGTAATATAATTTATACAAGTACGTGAATTCATAATAGATATCAATATAAATATTTACAAAAATAGCCTTACGTAATTTGCTTAGAAAATCTACACCATCGGAATTTGACGATCACTGCAATATTTTTAATTGTAGGTCAGTGTAAATAATGTGTTTATATAATGTAATATTTATTTAAAAAAGATGTGGTGTATTGATTTTACCTGTTTTTTTTAATTTTTGTTTTAAATAACTTATTACTATTTAATATTTTTGATATTTTAACTCACTATTACTACCATTATACAGATATTAAATTTTAAATAAATATTGAGACACCTAGGTTTCTATGTGAAACCTGTGTGCGTCTCATTGTTTAGCTTTTTCTTAGACTATAAAATTAATATATTTAATTGTCTTACATCTAAGTAAAGATTTGCTTAAGTAAACTTAATAACCAATAAAATGAATCTAGCTATAATTAACTTAATAACTAGGATAAAAAATAGCGTAAATAAAGGAAAGGTAAATAACATAAGGTTTATAAATCGAAAAATATAACTAAAAATATGACAGGCATACATTGTGTTTCTACTCAAAAATGTGTTGAAAGACTGTTTTGTAATTTTTATAAACATATTCTCTACATTGTAGATTAAATTTATGTATGTTACTTATTCTGCGTATCTCCAGAGGAATACAATTATACAATTTTGGACCCATATTATTTACTGAGTTTAGACTCATCGCAGTTCTGTTTTCCGGGAGCATAAGGTGTTTTTTTTGTATTAGCTCTAGTGCTATAATTATGATGTATTGTTTTCTTTTTGGTGCCTAATTGCATGAATCTAACGACATTTAAGATGTATATATGTCGAAGATTGGGGACAGTCTCCGAATATAGCCACTCAGTGTGAAATAACTTCGGTTTTCTAAATATTACTTTTAATATATAATTTTGTAGGATGTTCAAAGGCCTTAAAACTGTTTTGGATGCATTTCCCCACACGAGAATGCCATATCTCAGAATAGACTCAACAAATGATCTATATATTAGGATCATCAGAGATTTGTTCATAAATTCTCTCAATAGATAAAACTTATAAATCAAAATTCTAACTGATTTTGCAACTTTATACACGTGTCTATCCCAT